GAAAAAGTCAGTAATTGAAGCTCATGAAGTTCTTGTTACAACTTATGGTGATCAAGCTCTATCATATTCCAACTGTAAATTTTGGTTTTAATGGTTTGAAAGTACTGTTCAACCAAAAAAATTCAGAGATTCTGAATTACAAGTATTATTGAATGAAAATACCGCTCAAACGGAAAAACAATTGACTGAACAATTCAATGTCGATAAATTGACAATTTCTAAATGCTTACATGCCATGAAAAAAATTCAAAAAGAAGGCAAATGTGTTCCACATGAATTGAGTGAAAGTGCCATTGCAAATTGTTTGAATATCGCCGTATCTTTATTTGCCAGAAAAAAAATAATTTTCTATGGCAAATTGTAACTGGAGATGAAAAGTGAATTTATTTTGATAATACAAAGTGAAAAAAATCATGTGTTACTCCAGGACAACCATCAACATCGATACCAAAATATTCACGGTCACAAAGTATGTTCTGTATTTGGAATATGGAAGGTGTAGTGTACTGTTACGTCCTGGAGGAGGAACGCAACTTGACGCCTGCTTTCGCAAGCTCCGACGTACTCGCAAGTCTGCGGTGCAGATCAAGAATCGGAATGACCCCTTTATCTGGCGCGGACGTACGTCGGTGGTCCTTTATTTGGGTCGAGGAACTGAATCCTTTTACCTGGGATAGGACCGTGAGCGACGGTTGAGGGAGAATTTTTGGTTGAGAATAATTATTTGGAAACCGTGATTGGCTTACAATTACAAACAACTTGTTTTATTAGTAATTAGACGGATGTTCACAATGAAATAAAATTTACAAGCTTTTATAATGTGTACGTATATATATATATGTATAAACAATCGCGGTCTGAGCAAGGATTCTTGATTACTCCGAACAATATTCCAATAGAGGAAGATCTAGTGACGGAGAGGCACGAGGCGAGGGGAAAGATCGCGATGAGGATACTTCTGAGGGAGAGGGAGAACGAATAGGTATGAGGCCGCATGGAAGCCTCGCGTGCCTCCTCGTAGAGGAGAAGTTAGAGGGGAAGATGTCAAGGATGGACTCCAAGAAAAAGGAGAGCTTGAGGCAGAACGGTCGTCTACTGGATTCAAGGATGTTGGAGAGTATGAGATAGGAGGAGTTACTGGGGGAGAGTCAGGAAGGAACATAAGAGGAAAATGTGCAGATCTTAAAATGTTCGATTCGTTATGGCGGATAATGTAATCTGGACAATCTTGTAATACAAGTATTAAAGAGGCGACCTCAAAATCCTCGCGGTTTGTATAGTTTTCCGTGGTGGTTATCTCTGACTGTGATTGAGAAGATTGAGCCATTGAAATCGGATTTAACAATTAAGGAGGGATGCCAAGGGGAATAGGGAGAAAAAGGAAACAGGAGGGCAAAGAAAAGAGAGAAGGAAAGATAAGAGAATAAAAAGAAAGGGGTCACTCTGACAAAGGAAAATATAAATAACTTACTGCTGGTTCTATGATGCGAGTCGACTATGAAAAGTATAATTGCTGCGTGTCGGTGAGGATGGACCCAAGTTGCGCCAAGAACTAGAAACTGGTCTCAACAGGATCTCTCGCAATGTCTCAAGGATGCACGAAATCGTTGCACAGAAGAATTGACAACTGAAGAACTCTGATCTGCCTCACTGGTAGGGTTGATTATTAAGAGACCCTGAAGGAACCCTGTTGGAGAGAAGACTCTGTCCTGGCTGCGGGTCGGTCGGGAGGAGAAGTAGAAGTGGCATAGCTTTTTCATTTTATCAAAAACGTCACCTCGGTCGAGAGGTGGGATTTGGAAAGTTGCGTCAGGCTCCAAAGTTTATGTCCAAATATGGGTATAGGATTTTGTTGCAAACTTTTCGGAGGTGGGGTTTTAGATAAATATGATAAATATGATAAAGGATCGGGTATCTATGGCAGTAAAAGATTTCAAGGTTCCGCTAGGGTTAGTCAGAGGTTGTGCGCGATAAGAATTTATAAATAACATGGGAAAGCATGAGTTTCCGAAGATCAAAGGCTAGTAATATCATATAACAGCATGAAAGATTGTCTGGTCGGTCCGTCTTCAAAGAAAATTATTGCTCCAAACGGGAAGTTATTTAAGGTTATTTGGAGAGGAGATATATGGCCAAAATGACTCAGCGGATCTTTTCCGACGGAAATAGAGGAAACTCCGGTGATTACAGCAGAGAGAAAAAGAAAGAGAAATATGTGTGTGTGACGTCACTGTTCTCGGAGGGTCGTGGAATATGAACATTTGGTCATATAATATAAAATGCAATCCGCCCTACTTGACAACAAATTCAAAGTACGCGGAGTCCGCAGGACGTAACAGTACTACGAGTTTCTAAAACCGAATGAAACAGTTACGGGAGAGAGATATCAACAACATTTGAACAAATTAAATGATGAATTGACGCAAAAAAGGCCAGCAATAGCCAGCAATAGACGCAAAGCAATTCTTTTGTACGATAATGCTGGTCTATGTTGTTTCAAATGTTAAACAAACATTGATAGTGCTCGAATGGGAAATCCTTCCTCACCCAGCATACTCTTCAGACCTAGCACCATCTGATTATCATCTATTCCAATTGGTGCAATACGCTGTGGTAGATACACATCTCAATAATCACGATGGTGTACAAAGATGTGCAGAAATGGGTATCTGACTGGATTGCTTCGAAAAACAGATCATTCTATCGTCGCGGAATCGCTACATACTACTGTGATAAAAAAATAAGGTGAATTTTTCATTTAAACTTCGCGGGTACTATAAAATGATGAAATTATTTTTTTGTGGGTTGGTAGCACTGTCTTTGACATCTATGCAGAGTTTCACGTCAATATATTCAATTGCTGCAGAGCTATACGTGTTTTTGTAAACATACAAAAGTGAGTTTTTCGATTTTTACTGTCTGATTTTGTTGAACAAAGAATTTGCATTAAATTTTGTTTGCGGAATGAATATTCTGCCGCGGAAACGTTGAGGATGTTGCAGAAGGCCTTTGGTGATAAGGCTATGTCGCAAGAAATGTTTACAAGTGGTACAAAGACTTCAAAGAAGGCCGAGAACGAGTTCAAGACGAACAGCGCCCCGGACGACCATCAACATCTACCGATGAAAGCCACGTCAAGGAAATCAAACTGTTAACAAGGAATATTATTTGAGTGTTATGCGTCGTTTGCGTGAAGCTATTCACCTCAAGAGGCCAGAATTATGGGCAGACAATTCTTGGTTTTTGCACCACGATAATGCACCGTTCCACACTGCATTGATTCTTCGAGAACATTTTGCCAAAAATTCGACCCATATCGTTCCACAACCATCGTATTCGCCTGATTTAGCACCGTGCGACTTCTGGCTGTTCAACAAACTCAAAAGACCGCTCCGGGGACACCGTTTCGACTCGATTGAGGAGATAAAAGCCGAATCGAAGAAAGTATTGAAGGCCATCTCGGAAAAAGACTTCTCTGACTGTTCCGAGGATTGGAAAAACCTTGGCATAAGTGCATTGTGTCGGACGGGGAGTACTTTGAAGGCGATGAAATTGATTTGGAAGAATAAATAAAGATTTTTCATTTTATAAACAAATTCACCTTATTTTTTTATCACACTAGTATATTGCTAGAAGGTGGGAAAAACTCACAGATAACGATGAAAAATATTTTGATTTAATCATTTCTTTAAAATAAAGATAAAAAGTTGACAAAATAAAACCAGAATTAATTTAACCTTGTAATAACCGACGATTAAAAATAGCAGGATGCCAATTTAAATTCTAATAGACATGAAACTCCAATAAAGAATTGAAATTAAGCATAAAATATTCGTGTCCATTAGAATTTAAATTAGCACCTTTCTACTTTTAATAATCAGTTAGATTAGCCGAAATTTATGAAAATCATCTTTACACAAAGTTTTTTTTACGAATTTATTGCAGACTATTATCCCGACTATTATTACGTCATCTGCATCTATTTTGAATATGGAATTTAGTCGTAATCCCTGGCACTACCAATAAAATAATCATTTGATGCGCGTCCGTACTATCAATGCAACTGTTAGAGATAAGATCCTTGATAAATCTATGAATTTAACAATCTGTTTAACAATCGCTTGGAATCCTTTCTCCTTATGTACTCTTATAAACATATTAGTAAGTACGTACGCATATAAAACATTTCCAGAACAAATATAAAATTATACATTTAAAATAAAATAATAATAGACTCACGCATATATATATGAAGAAACACAATCATAGAATTCTAAAGGCTAATATTAGATTTGCATTTCCAGACAGCACAAGATCTCTAGTAGATGTCCTTAGAATAGAGAAATGTTCTCATAACATTTTTAGAACATCTTTCGCAGCATTTTTTGTGCTATTTGGAATATTATATGAAAACTGTTAAACAGAACCAAAGGGTTTTAATAATTTATTTAAACTTTTATATTTATTTTTTTATTTATATTTTTATATATATTTTATATTATTATATATATATTTTTTTATTTATATTAACTTTTATATTTATTTAAACTTTTATAATAAAAGATGGATGAAAGAAGTGTAATCGTCTGTCACGTAATCAAGTCCTATAATTATTGGCTTTCCATAATTCTATAAGTCTAATCGACCCCCATTTACAAAAGAAACTTAGTTTACGAAATCTGTTTTTTTCTCCAAATCCTCATCACTAGCAGAATCTAGACGTAACACAATTATTCTTCTTTTATTACTTTGTTCTCGGATGTCCTGAAATAAAAAAAAGTTGTTTTATTAATTATACATACGAAAGAAGAATATTATTCACGTACCTTTCGTTTACGATAATCCTGTTATTTTCGAAGAATAACCATTTTGTTAAATTTTTAAATGGCATCCCAATGCAAACCGCAAGAAGCAAAGAAATCATATAAGAAAGCAGGAGCAGCGGAATGACATCCAATATCTAGGTAAAAAATTATTAAATAATTAATACATAGACCCAATTATTCATTATGCATGATATACTTGGTTATGTTTTTAAAAGTAATAAGAAGAATGGCATATATCAATTTTTTCATACTCACAATGTTAAAATTGCTATAAGTTGTTGCAGTTCTTGCTTGTCTTATCTTAACCTCAAAAATTATCAGGTGCACGATATATACTCCATAAGTTAAGTTTACTAATGGCCGCGCCCAACGTGGTGTAAGGAAGCGGTAGTAAAATTCTGTTGGAGGAAACACAGGAAATATAATAGCGGATTCCGAAATAATTTTGGCAAAGCAGCTTGGAACAGTAAATATTGAGGTATGATTAACATTTTCTCGGATTATAGAATAAATTAATTAAAGTTTAAACTCGATCATACTAGTTGACCAAAATATAATAGATAAACCTGAACCTTTCTCTGAGTTTGTCTAAAAGTATTATACTTTAAGACAAATAAAATAGAATAAGTTTACTTAATTGGCTGAATCCATAATTGCAATAATAGTTGATTCAAAATGGACTTGTAAAACAAAATAATATTATGGTCACTTATATTCAGAAACAGTAATTTGTTCCTTAGATGTTCCTTAGACTCATGTTCCTTAGATTTTTTGACAATAATGTAGATCGTAACTTAAAGTAATTTAAATATTTTATAATATGTATATCATACTTGATTGACTGCCGATGGATAACAAAACTATTATGGAACACACACATAAGGCAGGAATAAGCTTTTGGAAAAATGCAAAAATTGCTTCTTTCAACAGATTCGGCTCTCTGAATATAAAAAATTTATGCGAATAATATTGGATGGCTACATATAGAACCACGGGCATCGGAAAAACCAAGATGTGTGACCAGAACTGAAAGTGCAAAATGATTTATACTAGATAGGTATATCGTATTCTCCAATTAATATTAATTAATATCATGTTATTATTTATTAAAATTAAATTGGAAAACTTTGAGCAATATTGTCTGTGTGCTTACTTAAATTATATTTATTAATAGAAATCTAGCCACAATCAAAGTTGCTTTTACATTTCTTTCTATTTGATAAAATATAATGTTACTGAAGTTTTCGATATCACGGAAGAAATATTACAGTACATTACAAAAGTTTGTTTCTTTATAAAAAGTAACAACTGTTCTCAATATTTGAATAAAAATAATACAAAGGAATTTTATAAAATACAGAGTTGTTTATGGTACTTGTTTTTGGTGAAGAACTATTTTACTTAAGCATGACTTTTAAATTCATATCTCAACATATTTGTATTTTTTACTCACGAAAATGTTATAAAAGTTAGCTAAAAATATAATATGTATTAACATACCTTAGATAAACGCCACGTACTACCTTTGTGATCGTGAAGTATTGCACCAGCGATTATACCGACAAGGTATCCAGTGGCATTCATATGTGTTTTGATATAATACGTTTTAAACTCCGCCACTTTGTCTAATGCAGTTACGCTGTATAAGATAACAAAACAAGTGATTCGTTAAAATTTATTCCTCCCTCCACATGCATTCGTTTCTCTATCTAATTAAATAAACTAATCTTAGATAATAACGGAACGCAAATTAATTACGTCTTAAATAGAGATAGAGTTGTACACGCACAACATAATTAGAAATTACTCACTGCAGTGTGAACTGTAAAACGGCTGGTATATTGTATATATAAGTAGCAAAAAAAGATACAGTGCAACTTATTAATGTTAATACCCCGAGAAAAGGATATCCTATTTTACGCGGCATACGCCAAAATGCATATATCACAAATTGACTGCAGACAAAAAGTTGAAAGTCTGCCGCTAAATACCAGCCATGCATGGCACACTGAAACACGTTATTTATATGTCAACGTTAACTGATTTTTTTCGGATATTATTTGGATTGATACAAACATAATTTTATTACCAATTCCGAATTTGCGACGTAATTGTTGATATACAAGAGATTTAACCACCAATTTTTCGCACAATGAGCGCTTTCTTCGACTACTATGTTCCAAAATGGTCCGGAACCTAATAGCGGGAGAATCCAAATGTAGAAACCAATTAGGGCGGCATATAACGGCGTCAACCTATAAACCATTACATATGTTATGTTAATATATATATAGAATGTCTCTTTATATATATATACACACAATTGTCTCCCGAAAAAACTTAATATTCGAATAAATATTTCAGATAAAAATTACTTAATTTTGAGAAGGCTAGAAGAGTATAGTTCTTTTTCAGGTGGAGATGCTTTTGAAATTTTAAAGTAACTATCGTGTTTCTTAAATGGAACTATATACTTCTTTTCAATTAGCCCACTCCGTGATGAATTCATTAAATTATGACATATTTTCCAAGATTATTTGCATTTCATTAAATTCATTCAAAGACTATTTTAACTAAACGGACTGAAAACTTTTCTTATCTTCTGCATGCAAACCGACTTGTGTATCAAAATATTTTTGGATTTTGTCCTTAAATGTTCCTGAATTTAACCTCTTGCAAAGTTGTCCGAGTAATTGCTCGGCAGATATCTGTGATCCGGATTTTCAGATTATTCGTTATGATTTACCATTCCTGATAAATTCTATTTTTTAAGAAATATTACGCAAGAAATTATAAAATATATTATTTTTTCTTCCTATCCAAAGGTCAGGGAAGGTTTTATTAAACCCTATAATCACTATGAGTGTGAATTCTATCATTTTGAAATCACATTCATTCTCTGATAACAAGTGGGATTTTCAAAAAGTAGTTAAAGCTCATTGGTCGTGAAATCATTGTAATGTCTCTAGTCAGTGCTATTAAAAACAATGCGTAAATATTAAATATGTTTCCATACAAACTTTTAACGATCATTGACTCTGATGTTCAACATCTCAATGACAATGCGGATTTATGTTTAACTAATAACAAATATATTTTTCTTCGGGATGAATACCGCATTGTAATTCAGCTTTGTGCCGACGTTTCACAAACATTACAGCTCGCAACATCAGGGCTAGGAGCTCCGATACTGTATAGTACAATACAGTATCGGAAGTCCTAGCCCTGATGTTGCAAGCTGTAATGTTTGCGAAACGTCGGCACAAAGCTGAATTACAATGCGGTATCCATCCGGAAGAAACACATCCTGATTGTATCAATGGCCGCGAAAATCTAAAAATTAATATTATGTTTATTTACTGATTCACTGTTTTTGGAAGTTGGCTTCATTGCAAAATAGGATAAAAGAAAATAAGAAGAGGTTGCAGAATATTTTCCGCTGAATCAACTAAGCACAGTGGAAATGCATTTTAGGTTAATTTATATATTACTTTTGGAAAAATCTCCTAGGCACTCTGCGAGGCTCGAACCCGGGGAACCTCAGGCTTTTGAAGTCAAACGTCTTATACCACTGCTCTCTCTCCTCTTTGATAGAAACTGGTAGAGACTTTTTCACGTCGCACACGTAGAATGGAGAGGAAGAAAGTGTGTGTTGTGGTTAGTGTGCGAAAGTCTCTGGAAAAATCCTGTAAGGCCCTGGCTAGATTCGAACCTGAGTCCGCTGGCTTTCGAGTCACGCGTCTTATGCACTACGCTACTGCTATACCCTGATGGAAACTAGCTATATTGTATACATACGAAGAGTATCGACGTCACGCGTGAAAAATTTGGCAAATTCTAGAACCTACGGGACTCGGACTCCCACCATGAGACCTCGGCTCCCGATTCTCGTGAGCGTGTGCGAGCATGTTCGAACAGGTAGGGATCATTTCGAAGACAAAAACTACCCAGCGATTGTTGGAAGACGATACCTCTGGCCTATGTCTACCCGAATATTTTTACCTATGCGGGTCCCCTCGCTTTCAAACTCGAAAAGTTTACAACGGGATTTGTTACCTCGAAGTGGAAATCACAGGGAAGAGAGAAGAGGTGAAGAGAAAGGAATGCACAATATTTTTCATAGAATTAATTCACATTTTATTTTTCATGATTAAGATGAGACATTTATTAAAATTGCTCGTACAATTTTATTTAAATAAATCGAAGTAATTTCTTGAAATATAAATATGTAAATAAGTATCTAGAAACGTTAAATCTTTTAATTGCCAACGTACATTTTGCTTAATTTCCTGATAGTTTGCGAAGAACGTCTGTTTCACGATGTCCTCGTCTAAGTTTTTCTTGAGAAGCCTGAGTTCTATCTCTGTTACCAGAAGCCGGGCGCAATCGTTTATGAGTTTTGCAAACGTTTGCAGTTGTTCACATCGAGCGTCAATATATTTTGTTATAAGTTCTAGCCCGTCAAAAGATGTTGCCTGCATCACGATGTTTACCGTGTAGACTTTTCGTTTCTTCGTCGGCGGCTGCTGTCCCTGGGATAAATCGGCAGACATCCTCTTCGATGCGGTGTTCACCTCGGTCGTTTTCGTATTTTCAGTCACCATGATCGCCCTGGCCCCATATGCCGTGGTAAAGGTGATGGTCACATCGTTAATATGGACGGCTCCGGCACGGCCCTGGTTACTGAGTGCAAGTAATCGCCTATGTGTTTCATGTACTCCTTAAACTTTTCCCATGTGGCGAAGTCGAACTGGATCCCTGTAGAGGTATTGCCGGATAGTTTTATTGTAGGCTCGAACGTTGTCCTGTCGTTTGATGCCCGCAATCCGATTTGCATTCTCTTGGTATCCGAAGTGTTGAGGGGATAAGTAATGGAGAGAAGCATATAGCTCTCATAGCGAGCCTTCCCAGAGTTACCATATGCGATCTTCTTAAATTCTGCGTTTGCGTTAGTATTCGCCATTATGTTTCTCACAAGAACTTATTATCCCACAGGTGAAAACACGAGAACTAATATACTTCGTCGCACGAAACGAGTACTAAGACTGAAGAAGCTCAAATGGTTTGGGCCCGGCCCAATGGGCTTCTTATAGGAAAAAGAAAAGTAGAGGGGTAGTTCTGTGTGCATACAACAAATAAATTTATTTCTTAATATTTGTTAAATGATTCAACCTAGAACGTTCTAGAATTTCTCAGAACGGAGCATACGTGTTCCTACAGGGTTTATGATATCGTGGGAGCAGGCGTTATATTTGAAAGCAGCTTTCGAAACAGTGGATGGGAAAATACATTTTATGGTCTTTTGCGAAAATTTCCAATTGGACTCTATTGTAGTCAAAACCGATTATATCGTCCATCCTTACATCTAAATTTATGTTTAGATAAACACATTTCTACAAATCGTTTGTGTAGGCCGCAAAGGAATGGCGCACATTTTTTCACATCTGAGAATTTATAAAAATGAGAAGAAAGAAGGTTTATTCTTTTGTGGCCGCGATAAGGTTTATTCTTTTGTGACTGAACAGAATGCGCGAACCCTGCAGATTCCGACGGGTTTTATGTTATCGCGGCAATAAGCATTATATTTGCCGAATCAGTGGATAAGAAAATGCCCTTTACATCTTTTTTGTGAACCGGAGTCCTATCCTAGTCAAAACTGCTTATATTTCCTTCCACGCATCTAAATTTAAATAAACAGACAATTCTACAAAACGTTTTTCGTGTAGGGCCTAAGGGAACCGCACGGAACTCGCATTTTTCACGTCTGAGAATGTGAGATATAGATATGAAAAGAAAAAGGTTTATTCTTTTATAGCAGGAATAATATGATCCTTTAACAGATATCAAATTCTGCGATAAAACTAGACGAGTATATTGCCGAAAAGCGTTGATATAGTTAGTCCCGCCTTATTTACACAGACATTCGTGGAGGTTTCCCAAAATTTTGGAAAATCCATGTTATATAAGAGTGTTCGAAGCTGCTGCGACGTATTTTACTGTTTCCATCGCTTCGAGCAACATTCCTATTCCGTGATATTCGTGAAAGTATAAGAAAATGTCGCAGCTTTTCAAAGTTGTACGTGACTAATCGCATCGTCGGTAGCAAATCCAATAATCAAACGTGGGAAATATCTGTGTGAACTCGCGAGTGATAATGATGAGAAGACATATGAAGTGTTTTATAAATTCGCGGCCATGTGCAGTAGTGACCTACTGGCGATGTTATTCGCTTGCGGGCAATTTAAAAATAATTCTCGCTTGCATGGGATCGCAGCCGAAATTGTGGGAGCGAGAATATTATTCGGAGAGAATGAAAAAGATATCGGTGACCGTGTTCAGGACATGCTCCTTTCCGCATTGTAAGTAATTTCCTTTCGTTGTGATGTGACATAAAAGAATAAGTCTAATATATGCTGGTGTTCACGAATACGTTCTTGTGTTCTTCATTTTCTCAGTTCTCACCAATACTGTACAAAGCGGAAATCCAAAGAGCCGCTCTCGCTCGAGTATAAAACTTCCTCGTCAACGAAATCTGCCCGTGAGTATAAGGAAAAATAAGTATAAGATTATTCTCTTGTAGAGCCTCGTGTTTAATATCGAGTTAAATTTTAGCAAGTCGTAATAAAATAGCGAGAATTGACAAAGATATCGCCTGCAATATAAATGAAAACGGCATTGATATTACTCATGATGACGCTGTTCACGTCATGGGTAACATCATCGAGTACAATGACAATGGAGTCGATGAAACGACGCAAGTGAAGCTGGTGAAACCCAGGACTTCCGAATCTCGCAGGCTACACTAGTCGAAGGTAAGAAAAGGTAAGAGAAATATCTTATACTCTTAGTGTATTTTTATTCTAATTGTGTTAAAATTTATATCTGTATAACGTTTTCAATTCATATTTACAGTTATACAACAGGGTAGTGGATACGAACAGTCGAAAGAACTCGAATCGAAGAGACAAAAGCGAAGACCAAAGAGTGTGCGAAGCGACAGCAAAAGCCGATACGGTCAACAATCGTGAGTTCTTATATAAATGTATTGAAATACTCAGGGGAAAGTCGCGTAATTATAGAAAATTTAATATTCTCGGGAGGGAGTCGAATATTCGAATTCTCCCACCTCCAGAAGGAGCCAACGTTTATTGAATATTTAGAAAATGCTTTTCGGGAAATCCACGATTACGCGGTAAATTCGGGTGGCGCGAACAACTACGTGGGGTTGACGCTTGCTTCTTCGTACTTAACGTGGGGGCCTGCAGGTTTATCGCTTCCTTCCGCTCGGGACTTGACCTACAACGAGATTTGGAAATCTCGTGAATTCGTTAGCGAGAGTGCCTGAGGTCATGATATTTTAGAACATTTCAAAATTAATATTTTCAATGTCGCCGGCACTTTCTGGTCGTGGAAAGAAATCACATAAACTAACTCACGAAGATATAGCGAAACGCTCGATCCTTACTATAAACAACTTTGACAATTTGTGCTTTCCCCGTTCGCTCGTTGCTGCGATAGTGTACAACGAACGCGGCAATGTGCGCACAAGAAATGCATGATAAATGGAATTCCGTGAGGAAGCAATATTCTATATTACAACGAGACCTAGCGGTCGAACTGACACGGAAAGCCGGTGTCTGTATACCTGAATGAAGAAGGGTGTGGTATTCCCGAGATCGAGCGTTTCCAGCATTATCTTGCCAGCAACGATATCGTGATCGTTGTTTATTACTTTAGTTCCTTCGCACGTGGTGCGCCCCCCATGTACGATGGTAGCAGCGTACTCACCTCCCACGGGCGCGAAGCTAAAATGACTCTGAATATTATGTACTACGAAAAATCCGGCATTACAATCCAATATTAAATTTAAGAGCTGCATCGGGCAGCCAAGGTTATTGTGTACGTTGTAATAGCGGATATAAGCCGGAAAGAGGGCATCGGTGCTCAAACGTATATCCACGGTGTCACGGCGTTCCAGCGTGCGAGGTATCAGGCGTAGAACTAATACGATGTGCGCGTGTCAACGTGAATTTTACGGGTCGTGTGTGTTTCGAGCGTCATCGTGCGCAAAAATCGCTCCAAGGCACTTCATCTTTGAGCATCTGTAATATCCTGAGAGTTTGCAGCGACTGTGGCCGTTTGCGAAACTTGAGGAACAAACACAATTGCAATGAGATCTTTTGTCGTGTTTGCAACGCGTTGCAACCAATGAATCATCTATGTTATATGAAACCACTTCGATGACACTGGTTCATCCGACACGATGAATCCGCAGCGAGTAGGAAACGAAAACGTAGTTGATGACATTGACGAAGCGACAGAAACAAGTAAGCGCGTAAAAGGTCGCATCGCGTTTGTATTCTATGATTTTGAGACACGTCAAGACGATACGATCGAAGGCACAGAAACGTTAAAACTCACGTTGTGACGCTCTGTGTTGCGCAGCAGATATGTGAAAGCTGCATGAATGTAGACGATATGGCGTTGCGATGTCGTTGGTGCGGGATACGCGAATTTATATTTCGAGACAATCCGGTGAAACAATTCGTCGATTTTGTCACGAGACCGAGGAAGAGTTTCAAACACATCATCTGCATCGCACACAACGCAAGCGCATTCGATGCGCAATTTATCCTACGGTATTTGGTCGAGAGCGGTAATCGCGTGGAACCTAAGCTTATTTTAAACGGTACGAAGATTATATTGTTAACTATTGGGCAAACAAATTTATCGACAGTGTTAATTATATGCCTATGCGCTTGTCAGTATTACCAAAAGCCTTCGGGTTAAAGGATACTGCAGGCAAAGGCCTGTTTCCGCATTTATTTAACACTGTCGAAAATCAACATTACATCGGACCGATACCAGATGCAAGATACTATTCTCCCGAAACAATGAGACCGCCTGAGCGTGAGCGGTTTTTAGAATGGCACGAGGACATGGTGCGCAAAAACATAGAATTTGATTTCCAACGGAAATTGTGAGCTATTGCCGGAAACGATGTCGATATTCTTCGACGGGCTTGTCTTGCGTTCCGTAAGATTTTCCTGGATCGTGGAAAAGTATGTCCGTTTGAAGAATGCACAACCATCGCCTCTACGTGCATGAGAGTTTTTCGTAAAAACTTTCTGCGTGAAAAGAGATAGGTATTATTCCTTCGGGTGGGTATCGGCGTGTCAACAATCAATCCCGCAAAGCGTTAAAATGGTTGTTGTGGATGGAGCGCGAGCTCGGTCATACTATAACACATGCAGGTAGATCTCGCGAACATCGCATACCGGAAAGGCTGCTCGTCGATGGGTATTACGAGACAACGAATCCTGCGCAAAGACACGTGTTGCAATTTCACGGTGTTTTTGGCATGGATGTCCCGCGTGTTTCAGGTGAATCGGATAGCCCCGCTCTCGACCACCGTGAAGGGGATACTATTGAGTCGATACCGAGCATTACACGCGTGACAACATCTCGTCTACAGAAGCTAGGTTACATCGTAACGGAGAAGTGGGAGTGCGTCTTCGATCGGGAGTTGCAGGACAATCAACCGATGCGCGATTTCCTTGCGAATCACTCGATGTTAGAAAACTGAGCCTCTCGATCCTCGCGA